GTTGGGGCGGGTTGGTAGAGGGTTAGGGTTAGGGTTAGGGTTAGGGTTAGGGTTAGGGTTAGGGTTGGGGTTGGGGTTAGTCTTGTTGTGTCGAATGCCAGCGTTGCAGGGTTCTGCGCTGTGGTCCTGGCCCCAGCGCCGACGAGTAAGACTCAGCCCCGCACGCTGACCCCCCGGCCACCAAATGCCGCCTCAGAGCGCCAGCCGCCTCTTACACGCGGCCGGCGCCCTCTCGCGGCAAACAAAAGGGTCGAGCGAGCGGGCAGAGTCGCGATGTCTGCGCACCCGCGTGCCGATGGGCGGCACACGCAGCCGAAAGAGGCCCTGTCACGCCGCCAGTGAGAAAGGAACGGCCAAGACCGGGCAAGCGGAAGAGACGGATGCAGCGGCGGTGTGGTCGGCTGGTGCGTCGGGCCTGGCGACGGGCGGCGAAGCGGCGGGGGTGCAACTGGAGCCCGGCGGGTCGTGAACGTCAGCATGCGAAATGATACCATAACAATCGCTTCGTCGTAGCCGAGGAGAACGCCGAGCAGCCGGCTGGACGAATGCAACGGCGGCGTGGTGGGCGGGAGCGGCGGTGGAGCAGGGGGCGACGGCGAGGTTGCGTCCGGAGCCCGGCGGGTCGATCTGCATCGGCTGCACGTCGGCCACGTCGGCTTCTGCCAGCTCTGGCTGCTGGGCGGCGGTCGGCGTGGAGAATGGCAGGACAGTTTGGGGCGCATTTGAGAGCGCTGGCCCCGACGCGCCGTCGGTTTGGTCGGGGTGGTTCCTCACCCCTGGTGTTTCTTCATTCCGTCGGGGAGGCTCTGTGCAGGGCGCAGCGAGGGCCGTGGGGAAGGGGCCAGTGGGGCGATGGGCAGAGAGGGGGCAGTGACCCGATGTGTGGGCAGGTGTCTAGGTCTGGCTGTGTGGACAGCCAGCAGCGAGAGTAGGATGTGCTTAGTACCGGCGGGGTGGACGCGACGACCTGGTGTTGCCGTCGCGGAGGGCTCGGGCTCGAGTGAGCGCCGCCGGCGACGCGTCGTTGCGGCCGTGGCCGCGCGAGCCACTTGCATCGACGGGCTGCTTACGGGGGGGGGGCGCCAATGCCCGTCGGCAATCCATCCGTATTGAGCTCTGCGGGCATTTGTGGTGGTGGAGGCAGACCGCTCTCCTCGGCCAAGAGTAGACGTGCGCGAGAATTAATCTTAGGAGTGAGTTACACTACAGAAATAAATTTCTACGTTGAACGATAAACTACATACATCTTTCTGGCAACTCGTCTCTCGACCGAGTTTCCCTGAGTGAGTCTGCGACGCGTCGTGAGTGGCGGCGCGCGCGCGATCTCCGTTCCCGGGCACGCCGGTCGCAGTGGCATGGGCTCCCAGGCTCAAAAGCGCTCCCGTCAACAGCGAGCGAGCGCCGCCGCTGCTCCTCCTCCCGCCGCCGCTCACCGAGACTCGGTGCCGCCGTTCTCGCCGCCGCCGCCGCCGCCGCCGCCGCCGCCGCCGCCGCCGCCGCCTCGCGCCTCGCCTCCGTCACCGCCCGCGCCCTCCATCTCGTCGCAGCGGCGCGTCCCTCTGATGGCGCGGGCGCCTCGCTCACCGGCGCCTCGCCGCCGCCGCCCCCCCCCCCCTTCTCGCGCCGCTCCGCTCGTGGCCGCCGCCTCCCCTGTCAATCCCGCCGCCTCCCCTGTCATCCCGCCGCCCGCACCACCGCCGCCACCGCTAGGCCGGTCGGACCCGATTTTATTAAATTTTCAAGTTTAAGCGCAGACCTCGAGACTTGAACGCAAGCATGTTCAGGCCATCTAGAGTGCCGAACAACATCGCACCGGTTCGATTCGCGCATCACGGCCGCGCAAACTGGCTGCACTGCGGCGCGAGGCTCAGCGGGGCGTCCGGACCACTGACTCGGGCGATGTGGTGGTCGAGCGCAGCCTTCTTGAGCTGGAGAGCCGCCGCAGTATGCGCGGTGGATGGGACGTCGGCCAAACCGCGACGCGCAAGCTGCAGGGAGGAGCTACAGCGGCTCCGCTCCTCATGCTGGTTCGCCAAACCGAGACGTTGAGGTCCTCGTACACTCATGTCGCGCCTCGAGTAGGAGCCATCACGCTGCCCAGCGCTGGACCGTCGTAAGGTCCGGCCTTAGGCCAGCTCGCAGCACTGTATGAACTCACGCTGGCGAGCACCATCCCAGGATGAGGCCTTGAAGAGCGTGCGCCAGGGACGTCCGTATGGCAAAATCGGCGTGAATTCGCTATGAAAACGCTTCCAACCCATCAAGAGCGGGCTCAGAAGAGACGATACTAACCCAGGATCACCAGGGCACCTTAGGGTATCGAAATTTTCCACCCCCCCACCCCCTCCCGCTCCCCCCCCCGCGCCTCTCCCCCTAACTAACACACGCACCACCGCTGACACCCTCACCAGGCCTCTCCCCCCGCCTCTTCGCTCTCGCGGTGCAAGCCGACTCCTGGCGATCGTCCTGGTCAGCGGCCCTTGCCAGGACGGTCCGAGCGCCGCGCTCGCTCCGGTGAGTGAGCACTACAGTAGCACCTGCACCGCCTGTAATGGCACCAGCACCAGCCTCCCAAGCCCCGCCTCTCCAACGTCTCACTCGCCACCCTGCTCGCTGCCGCCCCGCCCGTCGCCACTGCCACTAATCTGCCGCTCCGCAGCCCGCTCCACCTTCCCGCCCGCAGCGCCTCCCGTGCCGACGCAGCCTAGAGACAACAGAGCTGGGTCAATATCACCGCGGGAACGCCTCCTCTCGACGTGGGACAGAGCCTCCTCCACAACGTCGAGAGAGCGACGGCCAGCGTGGCGCGGCGCAACGTCGCGCGGCAGTGGCCGCAGTGGCTCGAGGCGGGCAGCGCCGGCGACAACGAACGCGGAGCGCGCGGCGACAGCGGTGGCGAGAGCCGAGGGACGTGACTACACCCTCGAGCGCCGTGCGCGCGCAACCTCGTCAGCCAACCACGCGCCGCACCAGCGCCGCGAGCGACGCCTCGAGGCACAACGTGCAGCCGCCGCATCCCCCGCCGCCGCCGCCGCCGCCGCCGCCGCCGCCGCCGCCGCTGCCTCGCTCCGCGGCGGCGGCGCCGCCGCCGCAGACTGTAAGCACCAACAGCCGGCGGCTCGGCACGCGGCGGCCGCCTCCGGCCTGGGGGCGCGTCGGCAGCGCGGCGCGCCACCTCGCTGCTCGACACGCGCCGGACCTGTCATGCGCGGCTGCGCCACCGCTTCCTCGTGCGGCGCCGTCGCCGCCGCCACGCCGGCCGCCTGCTGTGAGCGCCGCGCTGCTCGGCCGCACCCGCCCGTGCCGGCCGCAGCTGCTCTGCCGTCAGCGCCGTCGCCGTCACGGGCCAAGCCGCCGTTGTCGCCGCAGCCACGCCCATCGGCCTCGCTGCCGCCGGTCCAGCATGGCTGACACCGCCACTACCACGGCACCGGGCAGGTGAGGCGCTAGAGGGTGAAGGGTGCATAGAGGCGAGGTGAGGCGGCACCTAGGGGCAGTGACCCCCGTGAGCCGGCAAGCCGACGCGCCACCGCCGGGCGAGATGGAGGCCGAGCTGCGACCCTCACAGCTCTCGCGGCATGCGTCCAGAGCTCGATTCATCTGCCTCGCCGCTCGCTCGCCGCCTTTGTGGGACCTAAAGAGAGAGGTTCTGAGCCGTCGGGCGGCGCTGATGGTGGCCCGCGTGGGTGGAGCCCGCGGCAGCTAGGCCGCCTGGGCGCGGGGGGGGCGGTCCGGTGCTTCAGAGGTAGCGTGAGCGACGGGGGGGGCGAAGATATGAGGCGGCTCGCCTGCAGCGCCCACCTGCTGGGCCGTCTGGACCAGAGAATACGCCTCGGGACCATCGAGCTCGTGCATAAAATGTTCACACAAGTCATCCCAATGGCCTCAAAAAGTGGCAGGTTGCCACCGATTTTCCGTAGCGCCCGACCCGCCACCTCACCGGCCCGGCGTTCGGAGGCGTAAAATCTTGGTCGGCCGTTGGGCCGGTGCCATCGGCCGCGGTCGAGTCGACCGTGCCCCGCCTTGGGCACGATGGACATGTGACCGGCTCCGGTCAATATGTGCCCCGGCATGGCGGCTGAGGCTCTCAGGTTGGGCGACGCGAGCGCCGAGAAGGTGGAGCAAGACCTCGCGTCCCCCATGGGCTTGCTCGGTTGGCAGGGTTGGATTTGGGTTCTTTGTGATGCGTCAACTTCAAGTTCCGGAACGACTCAACAGGGCCCCCCCCCCCCGGGGGGGGGGGCCGGGCCCAAAGACGGGGGAGCGACCGGCCTACCACCGCCTCGCGCCTCGCCGCCGCCGCCACCGACCGCCCTCCTCTCCCCTACGGCTCTACGCCGCTGAGCGCGGTGCAGGGGGCGAGCCCCCGCTGCGCAGCCTCACCGCAGTGCACTGACTGCGCTCTCCGCGCCCCTGACGATTAGTGAGGAGGTGGTGATGCACAGCATGGAGCTCGGCGAGCGTTTAGCGAGCCTCAGCTAGTATTCGCATATTTCGCCCGAAAAGCTCGCATATTCCTGCGGTGAGGCTGTGGTCGCCGCAGACTGCCTCCAACTTGACGGCGGCATGGAGACGTGATGCCTCCATGCCGCCGTCGAGTCAAAATCGACATGCGAGTCGATCTTTGCATGTTGCCGACGCGGCACCGGAGTGGCCGGCGCTGCTCGCCGCGACCACAACGGCTACTCTGATACTCCGGGCCGACCCGTCCTACCGACGGTGCACTCTTCCACGTCTCGCTCACGCTGAGAAAAATTCTGAAACGGCGTGCAGCAGAGTCGCCGACGAGTCGGTGCGCGTGCCTCCTCGTGTCCCGTACCGTTCTCACACATCCATAAACTCACTTTGGCCTCACTGAATCCTGAATCCTGAATCCTCATATATTTTAGATTAGGACGTTGCGCACCCTCTATACACCGGGGTCGGGACTTGGGTCGGGGGGTGCGCGCGCGGCGGCCGGCGCGGGCGGGAATTACGGATTGGAGCCGGGAATCAAGTTGGTGTGGCGGTCCGTTTTTTTAAAGAGTGAAGCAACTCACTATATCGCCGGCACAGGGAACGTGCGAAGTGCTGCGGGCCGATGCAGGGGCGAGGCCGGCCCGGTCGCATTCTCGGATCCCACGCCACTCGCCTCTCTCGTCTCGTCTCTCCCCAATCCGGCATTCCCACCATCTTCAAGCGACGGTGTGAGAAACGTACTGCAGGCGGAGCAGCGGGTACTCCTCGCCGCGCAACCGCAGGTAGCACGGGCCCCACACTATCTCCTCCCAGTCGACGCCGCTGTGCAGCACCTAGAGGGTGAGGGTGAGGGGCGCGCGGGGGCACTGAGAGCGGGGCTGCGGCACCGAGGGCGGCGGACGGCGTGGGCGACGGGCCGCGACATGGCACGCGCCTTAACCGACGACGCGGGAAGCGGCACGCCGAGTCCCTCGAGCGCTCGCCGGTCCATCGATTGGGGCGAGTGGACCTGCGAGAAGGTATAGGTCGCGTAGCCGCCCGCCGACGTGCCTTTGTAGGCGAGCTCGAAGCGCCGCTGCTTGGACTCGAGGTAAAGCGCCTGCAGCGTGAAGGTCTCCCGTCACAGGGCTGCTCTCCACCGCGCGGCAGGACTACTCGAGTTTCGCGCGGCAGGACTACTCCTCCCGGAGGGGGGAATGCAACATCTAGGCGGCGCGCCTCGCGCAGCAGACGCGTCGACGTCCAACGCGCGGCCTGTGGGGCAGTGGCGAGGCCGGTGGGCGGCGGTGGGCACGGCGGCGCAGGGGCGAGCGGGCGGGCGGGAGGTCGGCAGAGGAGAGAGAGGCCAAGGAGCGTGCCGAGCGGGGGTGGCAAGAGAGCGGAGGGGAGGGGCGGCGCGCTCCTGCGTGTCCTGATCCGCCACCAGTGCGAGCGAGTACTTGTAGCACGGCTCGTTGGAGAGGTTGAAGATGGCGAGGCTCGCCGACGGTGGCACAGAGAAGGACTCGCCCGGGCCCGCCTCCTGAGAGGGGGGCGAGCGAGCGCCGTTCGCGCAGTGTGGCAGCGTGGCGCCGCGGCGCAAACCTCTTGGTGAGTCTGGAAACGTCGCGGCAGGAACACGCTCCTGGACGCAGAGCGAGGTTGGCATCTGCCGCGACGCCCCGGGCCGCAGGAGCGAGAGCTGCGGCGGCGGCACGGTCCCCGCCGAATGCTGCAGGCACCGCTCCACTTTGAAGGAGACGCCCTGCGGAGAAGCGGCGGCAAAAGTGAGAGGGCAGAGAGTTCTTGGATCCACGGCTGGCGCTACGAGTCCGCCTACTCCTCCGCCCTCACTCACCAGCAAATATCTTCGCTAGAGGAGCAGTTCGGAAGCGTCTCGGAGAGTGACTTTGGAGCATCTATGCCGAGCAGACCTTGTGCGCTCCGCTCCAGTCGCGCGACGCAAAGCCGCTCCGCTCCGAGCCAGTGTAGGCGTCCTGCGGTGCGAGAGGCCGCCGTCACGGTGCCGCCAGGGCTCGGAGCGCTCCGGGAAACTCTCTGCTGGCGCCTGCGCGGGGCAGACGCGCAGCGACACCAGCAGAGGCGACTTTGGCGCCGCCCCCTTGAGCTTGAAGTGGCCCGTGTGGGCGAGCACGGCGACGAGGTCCGAGTCGTCTGTGTACACGTCCGATCCTGCGGCGCGCGAGCGAGGGCGGGGCTGGGCGCGTGCAGCGAGAGCGGCGGTCACGGGGTAGCGGTGGCGGTGCTGCAGGGCCGGGCACTGGAGGCGCACCCCAGACGCGCCGCTGCTTGACCGCCTTGCAGTCGGCGGCGAGGTAGCGCGACGGCACGAGCACCTGCGTGGCGGCGACGCGGAGGCACTGTGTCTGAATGGACAGGGAGCAGAACAGAAGAGCGCCGCGCGCCTCGACGAGCGCGTTCATGTGCTCCGCGAGCGGCAAAACCACGCATGGCTCGTACACGTGGAGGGTGGCCTCGTCTGCGCGGGAGCGCTTCGCGTCGGCGTCGTCAACGGGCTTGTCTCCGACGCGTTTCATAGTGTGTATACGCGCGCGGATTCTTTTTCTTGATAGGAGACCCGCACATTCCCAACTCACATTCCCAACCGACAGTTGAAGATGAATGGAATGTACTGAGAGTTGTATATTGAGAGTGCCATTCATCTTAGTGAGAGTGCCGGAGTCGCTACTAACTCAACCAGAAATCCCAAGAAATCACACAGACTTCCGGATGTATGTGAGGCTAATGACTGCACTCCAAGTGCTCCAAGTACTTCCCTCACGCTGTGTGATTGATGCACGCCCTGCGAGCGGGGCAAGGTGCGCGCTGTGCCTCTGTTCTGTTCGTGCGTCGTCCATCCTCGTCGCTCGCTCCTGCCTGGCTGGAGATGCCTGCTCTATTTATTTATTTACACGATAGGATTGTGTGTGTCTTTTCTTGCCTTTTGCGGTTTGATAGGCGCTGGCTGGCAAGAGTCGGTGATTTTCTTTCCCCGACGGGTTTTTGTTTGTTTTGTCGTAAAAATCTTTGACTTTGTTTAAAATCTTTTGACTTTTCTTTCACTTTCTCAATTACCCGGGGGGGTTACACTCGGAATTCTCGTTTGAGCGCGGAGGCTCAGAGCCGGAGGGTGGCTGGCTCTAAAGGCTGTACGAAGGACCAGAAGGCACTGGATTCACGCGAACGCTGCGCGCCTACCTCTGTGTCGGTACAAGGTGTACTCCCGCCCTCTGTGTTCCCCTCTTTGTCACTGATGAGCACGGGCCAGGAGAGCGACAGAGAAGGCGAGCTCGTGAGCTGAGAGGCTGGAGAGTCTGCGTATGACCTTGTCGCGATGAAGTGCCACGAAGCGCTATTTCCTGCTCTCAGCTCACGAGCTCGCCTTCTCTGTCGCTCTCCTGGCCCAGGCCCATAAGTAGCAAGCCTGAGCCGTCCCAAACCGCACTTATCTGGGGTCTTTGAGCTCACACCGGCTCGTGATGCCACGGAGAGATTGTCCCCGGTGGACCCCATCCGAGCCGATTGTGAGGGCTTTCCGGAGGTCATTGTCGGCGCCGGAGGTCATTGTCGGCGCCATGGACTGTGCAATGTCCTGTTCCACAGCTCTCATGCACTACGCTCATGGATGCAGTCATAATATGTAGCCCTTCTCTCCCGAAGTTTGGAGCAATAGCCGCAAAAGGTGCTTCTTGGCACTTCATCGCGACACGTCCAGGTGCCGACGAAGCGGCTTCCCAGCTCACCACCTCGCCTTCTCTGTCGCTCTCCTGGCCCAGGCCCATAAGTAGCAAGCCTCGGGAAAATAGAGAGGAAAAGAGAGGGTGCTGTAGAGAAAAAAGGAAAGGAAAAGAGACGGGTGCGAGAGGGGTAACCTGGAAACGACATTTCGCCGTGTTGGGTAATCTGGAAACGACATTTCTGCGAGGCAAAGTCGCAGACGCCGGGTGATCTGAAAAACGCCGGGTGATCTGCGAGGCGAATCTCAGAAACCGGGTAATCTGATTTATCCTTTTTGCTGAGCAGGAAAATATCGTTGCCGGGTGATCTGGACGAGAAATTTGGCCGACCGGGTAATCTGCCCTGAGAAATGTTAGCGACCGGGTAAGCTGAAACATGAATTGTGGGAGACTGGGTAAACTGGTTTGACGGAAATCGCGCTAAGCAGGAAACTATCGTTGGCCGGGTAATCTGCGAGGCGAATCACACTGTCCACGCAAAGACACAACTCCGGGCCCAAGACGCACACTGTTCACACTGTAGAGAGGGTGAAAATTGCGCTGCACCATGACTGTAGACTGAGAATAAAGTGAGAGAACCGGACCCCTCGAAAAAGTACGATTTCTAAAAATTTCTTCGCGCCTGCGGCGCGGCAGAGTCGGCCTCGTGCCAGCAGCCGATTTCTATTTCGGCCAGGGAAATCAGCCAAATTTCCAGCAGCCAATTTCTAAACACCGATTTCTAAGGCAAGAGCACGCACTGTACCCGAAGTACTCGTCGCCCTGAATGGTTGCCCAGGTTACTCAGGACACGATGCATCGCGCCGTGAACACAACTAACTGACTGACGGATCCGCTCCTGACAGTCGCACGCGCCGTGCTGTGGCGCGTGCGACTGTCTTTGTTTGAAGTCAAAAGTCGAATCAGAGCGGTGTCGGCGTTGTCCTGAGTTTTCTCCCCCGGACCGCCCGTCCGGCACCGCTCCGGGACGCATGCCGGCGAAGCACTATCAAGCTGCTGTACGGCCCCAGCATCGCCTCCCCTGGCTTAGCTAGAGTGAGAGATAGTGTGCACACGGTCTGTCTCTACAATATACTCACTGACACTCCACCTCCCAGAGCTCATCCCGGTACGCCACGGCCATCCTTGGCCTCAGGAGGGCCCCCGGCCGCGGCGCGGTGCAGCGGCGTCACAAATCCGACCACAGAGCACCGGGACGCGGTCGGGCGATCTAAGGCCCAACTAGGCGTATGCATTGCCCATCCAGGGCTATCACCTGGACCCATCAACAGGCGCCTGCGGCGCCGTGGTCACGAGGTGTTGTTCACACCTGGGCAAGCATTCATGCAGCACAGTACTGAGTAGAAGTGAAGTACCCGAGTGCTCCTTGATCCAATCACGACACCTTGGGGCAGACCTCGCTGAGCAGGAACCCGCTCAGCCGCCCCAGCTCATCGAGCTTCCCCATAATCTGGTCTCCGCCGCCCCCTGCCGCGCGCAGCGCCCTGAGCGCGGCGTCCTCGTCGTCCGCCTCGGGATGAAACCCTTTCTTGAGCGCGTCGTCGAGTCTCGGGTGCATGGGCCTCATGCCTTGCACGACGTGCGCGTAGATGTCGGGCACCCTCTCCGCCGTCTCCGTGTAACCGACGCAAAGGAAGAACTTGGGATCGATCAGCAGGAGCTGAGCGTTCAAGAGCGCGGCCTGCGTCGTCATCGTGTGCGCCTCGACGTAGCTGCGATGGGGGGACGGGGGGGGGGGGGGGGGTGAGCCCGCAACAGCGAGCGAGCGAGAGAGGAGAGACGCACGGCTTCAGGAAGCGACGCGACAGCGAGCTGATCATCGATGCGGGCGCTCTGTGCATGACCACGATGCGAAGATCGACCTCCGCCGCCTCGGCCGCTCGCGCGAGACTGACGAGGTTGGGGTGGTACCGCTGGCTCTGGTTGTCCGGGTAGCTGAGCATGCTCTTCCCGCCGGCGCCGTTGAGGCAGTGCAGCGACGGGGTCGCGTCCGCAGCAGCCTCTGCGCGCAGCGCCGCGACGAGGCGTCGCTCGGCGTCGTCCGACTGCTTGTCGCTGTACCACATGGATCTGAGCATCGTGTCTGTGTGGCCGTTCGCGCGCGGGCACGGGCCCCCCGGGCTGCCCCCGAGCGACGAGAACCAGCCGTGGTGACCGGTGCCGCCTGAGGGGTGGGAGGGGCGAGAGTGAGGAGGCCCGGCAGCGGCGCGCAGCACTCGACAGCACGCCCACACACACACACACCGAGTCCAGCCACGAACAGGAACCGGCTCTGCGCCGAGGTGGTGTTCTTGGCGATGACGATCGGTCGGCCTGCACGGCACGCCGCCACGAGGGACGCGACGATGATGGAGAGCAAACGGATCATAAGAAGTTGGGCGCGGAAGTTCTGCGGTTTGCGAGCGGTACACGCTAATTCCTCCACACCCCAGTGGCCAAATCCACACTTTTTGTTTTCACACAGGGGATCACAAAACATCGCGCCTGCGGGCAGCGCGGGCGGCGGGCGTGGGCGGAGAGGTGAGAGGTCGAGAGGTGCGCACCTCTCGACCTCTGGTCCGCCGGGTCGCGCAGAGGTGCGCACCTCTGCACCTCTACCTCTCGCGCGGCCGTCCAGACCCATGCATGGGAAAGGCGGACCAAGTTCCAGCCGCACGGTGTCTGCTGCGTACACGCTCTGCACAGATGGCACAGCCCACTGTGCGTGCGGCTGGCCGGCTGCCACAGCTGTGACAGCGATGGGCTCGCCCTCACTGGCCCTCAGTCACTTGTGCTGCGGCTTGTGTGAGCGACACTGCTCGGCGACTGCCGGCACACTGTGAGACCATGGGTGTCAGGTAAAACCACGCTACCAGCGCTTGGTCACATCGGCCCCGAGGTCAGATTCTTCTACTCTGTTGATGACAACACTTGTCTACTCGCTGGAGCCGAGCAGGAGGGCCCGGCGCACAACCCCTGGTCAACTCACGGTCCAGACCCCGTATTTATTCCTGTGGGTTGTGTCATCGTGGCGGCCCGCTTGTCGGAGATAGCCGCGCAGCGGCTATGTAGGTTATCCTTCAACGTGAGGAGAGGTGGACAGCAAGCAACACCCAAAATACGCGATCCAAATTACTGACTCTGCGCCGAAAGAGCGCGGCCGTCGGCTCGCAGCTTTGGGACGCTTGCTCCAACCCCATCGTCCGAGTCTTGCGCAATCTCGCGTGAGCCCTGCTCCCAGGCCAGCGGGGCAGGCGCATCACATCGTCGGCGATGGGCCTTCTCGAGACTCGAGCCGACGTGCCGCCGCACCCAGTCAGTGTTCCGCCACAATGCCGCCGCATGCCGCCGCAATGCCAATTGCAGGTAGCGCAGGAACGTACTGGTGCGGCAAGGAAGAGGCCGGCCCACATGGGCAGACCTCTATTGGGCACGCCACGTGCACGACAGCATGCAACGTGGCGCCCAGAGAAACAGCTCCCCTCTTGGTCCAGGCTTGTGAGCCATCTCGAGCGAGCCTACGTGGGCGCGAGGAGGCAATGGACCTCTGGCGCATCACAGAGCTCGAGATGACAAGCGTGGCGGAGCGAGCAGCACAGCCTGTACAGGCGCTCGCATTGCCAGCCCGCCGCCCCCGCCCTCGCCCCGCCCTCGAGGCTTGATAGCCACCTTCGAGGCCTCTTGGTCAAGGCTTGTGAGCCATCTCGAGCGAGCCTACGTGGGCGCGAGGAGGCAATGGACCTCTGGAGGAGGCAATGGACCTCTGGCGCATCACAGAGCTCGAGATGACAAGCGTGGCGGAGCTAGCAGCACAGCCTGTACAGGCGCTTGCATTGCCAGCCCGCCCCGCCCTCACCCCGCCCCCCCGCCCGCCCGCTGCAATGGGGGGCATTGCGGGGCCTGCAAGAGACGGCGCTGAGATACACTCAAGATACACTCGAAGATACACTTCGAAGATACACCGGTGGGATGTTATAAAGGTGTATCTTTGAAATGTATAGTCAAGTGTATCTTTGGCTATCACTCGAACTTTGGACAAGGGAATGGCCCAAAGAGGGGGGCGTGCCGGTCCTTGGCCCTCACGCAACGCCCGGCGCCACAGCCACGGCTCCACGCCAAACTCGTCGTAAAAGCTCCCAAAGCACTGCTGACACTCGAGGCCTGGGCCTCGAGCGTCCGCCGCGGAGACGGGGTTGTCTAAGAAGCGCACCCAGCGGGCCGGATGATCGGGATCTCGGGCTACGGGCTAGAGAGCCCTGACCCCTAGGGAGGGGGGTGCGCGTTCGCAGGGAAAGGGCTGTAAAGTAAACACGGGTCCCCGAGGGTTAGCTCTGCGCTCCGGGTTTCCCTACTCGAGTAGCAGAATCTCCTTTTGACCGCGCAAGCAAGATATAAAGGGTGGCTAAGGGCTCTACCCGCAAGGCGCCCGCGTCGCAGACGCGGTACCATTGACAAATCTGCGATATACCCCCACACGAGCAAATAGCAAAATCCGAATACCGTGCACGAACTGCGTGATGTGCGCCGGGCAAGCCTTCAGCTGGTGCCAAGACATTCGTAAAATTGAAGCCAAGAATTCTAAGATAAAAGGCCAAGAAGCCCGCCACATCCGTGCTTTCGAGAAAGCCGCTGATCGAGCCCAGCGTGCCCGCGGCCACCTCCCGCGCAGCACCGCCGCTGGGGACGACACGCTGCGGAATCGGATCGAGCCCATGGAGGAGGAGGGCGCAGTCGGCCAGCGCAGCAGGCGGAGTCCCTCCCCGCGCCGGAGCCCCCCTGCAGTCGGGGGAGTCCTCGTTGGCGATGAAGGTGGCGACATCGAATCGCGGCGGACACACGTCACGTGGGAGGAATGGGCGATGAGCGGGAACGATGCGCGCTACGACGCCGACTCCGCCGTGCTCGTGGCCGCCAAGCAGAAAGCCGCGCTCCAGGAGCACGCCAAGATGCAATGGCTCGCTTGCTTCGATTCAGCTCTCTCGGCAGCAGAAGTGGGGCTGGAGCGGGTGGGGGTGGATGCCGATTGAGGGAGAGCGTCTCCAGCTGCGCCCTGTGGCAGCTGCGCCCTGTGGCAGCTAGTCGAGGGACTTGGTAGTTGTGACCCCCCTGAGTGAGGACAGGAGAGAGAGAGCGTTTTGTGGTGTTGGTGTACGCAATAACGGGACAGGGTGGTTGTTCTCTCTATCTCCTCTTCTAGCTCTTAGCATGAGCTGCGCCCTGTGTCCGACCCCTTTTGCGCAGCAACACCTTAAACTTTCAGGCCCTCCAAATTCGGGTCGGAGCGTAGCGGAGTGGGCCCCGAGTTTGAAAAGGGCGACGGACGCTTGCGTCCTAGCCTCCAACAACGCCTCCCCGGCGCAGATGGGCCCCCGGAGGGATGCACAACCGCTCCACGCCACGCCGCTTGCCTCTTCCCACCTCATTTATTTTTTTTGGCCATCCGCGCCGCGCATCCAGCGCGCACCGGCGTCGCCCGGCGTATCGCCGAGACCGCGGCTGTCCGACCCGTCGCCATGGCCGTCGCAGAGTACGACTTCCTCTTCAAGTTGCTGCTGATCGGCGACTCGGTACCGCATGCCGCTCCCGCGCCTTCCCGCGGGCCTCTGCTGAGGCTTGGCCCCCCGCACGTCAGGGCGTTGGCAAGTCGTGCCTTCTCCTTCGCTTTGCCGACGACTCGTGCGCCGCCACACGCACCGCCCACCCTAGCCTGTGAGCGGAAAGTAGGATTTGCAGTCGCAGTCAACTGTCAAGACATTGCGTGGCTTGTCGCCGCACGCTAACAGCGCGCTGCTGCGGTGGCAGGTACACGGAGAGCTACATCTCAACCATCGGTCGCCTCGTTCTGTTCCGCGCGCCGCAGCCCACACCCCACTTCCCTCACTACACCTGCGCTTCAACGGCAGGCGTCGACTTCAAAATCCGGACCATTGGGATCGACGGCGCCCGCGCCGCCCGGAAAACGCCCCTTCTGTGCGCCTCCCCACACCTGGCGACGCTGTCGCTCGCAGGCAAGACGGTCAAGCTGCAGATCTGGGACACAGCAGGCTCGCGCCTGCGCAAATCTCAGTCGGCGGCGGCCCTCGCGCTACCACTAACCCCCTCGATATTCCCACTGTGCAGGGCAAGAGCGCTTTCGAACTATCACCTCTTCCTACTACCGCGGTGCGGACGGAGTGCGGGACCTGCAAGAGAACAAACCGCCCGCGCGACGCATCCTCCCCTTACTAGGCGCGCACGGCATCATCGTTGTCTACGACGTGACGGATGCCGACTCCTTCTTCAACGTGAGACGCGGCGTTCGCACTGGACGGATTTCACATCGAGACCTCTTGGCGCGTCCGTGCGGGTAGGTGAAGCAGTGGCTGCACGAGATCGACCGGTATGCGAGCGAGGGCGTCAAAAAGTTGCTGGTGACCGCCCTTCTCGCACCCGCCGCGCCGAGATTGCGTGGCAGACCCCCACGTACCACTCCATTCCTTCCAATCGCTTGGCAGAATCCATGCCCGAATCGCAGGTGGGCAACAAGACCGACCTCGTCAGCCAGCGCAAGGTGGAGACAGCCGCGGCAAAGGCGATCGCGCCGCCCTTTGCCCCCTTCTCGCCAACGGCGGTGATGTCTCCTCTGCGGTTGCTAAGCCCGTCTCCCGTGAGAGCAGGAGTTTGCCGAGTCGCTGGCAATGCCCTTCCTCGAGACGTCGGCAAAGAGCGCGAGGTGGTATCGCGTTGTGTCCCATTCCCTCCCCTTCCCATCTCTGAGCAGCCACCCCGTGTGGATCAGCAACGTCGAGCTCGCATTCCTCAAGATGGCATCCGAGATCAAGGCGAGCGTCTCTTCAAACCCAAAGCTCGGCGCGCCGGCAGCGCCTGTCAAGCTGGGAGGGGGCAGGCCCAACCCGTCAGCCGGCTGCTGTTGACATACTTTGAGCCCAGCGGGAGGACTGCTACATGGCTCGCGCGTCGGGGCACACGGGGACCAGTGCACTTTGTGCGAAAACAATGCGCTCTTTACGGCACTCGTTACATACAGTAGCGCCACACAGCACATTGTTCCATTGTGCGACAGTGGTGTTTGTTCGTATTTAAGATGAGAGTAGGAGGAGAGTACAAAAATACCCTCCCCCTCCTGAGGAGATGGCGTGTGCGGAGTGCGCGATGGCCGATGGCGATGCCCCCCGCCGACTTATGATTAGTTATTTACAATTCGTACGGCTCTAAAACGGCGGTTTTTATACTTTTTTTTCACACCACGTTGAGACGGTACGTTCGGCGGCTCGAACAGTCTGACGCTGCTCACTTCTGGTTGACGAAAGCCGCTGGGTTGATGCCGACGAGGAAGTCCTTCGCCGTGTCCTTGCCAGCCTCAAGCTCGTCCCACCACAGGTAGTCGAGGGTCTGGCTCGGGGTCATGCCAAGCGCCTGCGAGAGGTTGAGGAAAGCAACCATCTCGGCGCTCACCGTCTGCGCCGTGATAGTCGCGGAAGCTGCGGCCGCCTCGAGCCGCGACTTTGCCGTCCCGTTGGCGATCGCGACGGTTTGCGTCAGCTCCTGCTCGGCAACCATCACCCGCTGCGCGAAAGTGACCTACGGGCGGGGAGAGAATGGAGCTGTAGAGACCGTGATACGGGTCGAACCACCCGGTCAGTGCTCACCTGCATATTTTCCAGGTAGCGCTGGCTGCGCGTGATGTTCTGCTTCGTCGAGATGGATGTGACGATGGCCTCTTGAAAGACGTCGGGAAGCTCCACGTTCGAGATCTGCAGCGCCTCGACGTAGGCGCCGAGAGAGTCCCCAAACTTGCGGTTGAGCTCTTTCTGCATGGCCGCCGCGATGCCCTTCGAAGGAGCGGGGAAGGGGGGGGGGGGGGGGGGCAATGTGAACGTGGCGGCGCCCTCGGGCAGTGTGGACGCGCAAAGGGAGCAGCCAGCCATATGTGTGTATATTTTGGGAGCCATATTTTGGGGTGCGCCGGCCTGCTTGTCGTTGAAAAATGTGTACGCCGAGAAGTTGCAGGCGGTGTTGGAGATGACGGCGCGTGCGTTGTTGACGTACACGAGCTCCTCCTCCCCCTGGTAGTCTAGGTACAGCTGGTAAAGGCGCGCGGGCAGATACCGAAACTGGAAACTGAGGCCGAGCGTGAGCGGGAGTCCGTCTGCTGTCCGCGTGTGCAGGAGCCCGCGGCGACTGGGCGTGAACTCGATGGTCTGGATGACGCGTGGGAACTTTATGAAGGTGTGCCCAAAGCCGAGGAACTTGAGGCCCGCCTGGTCCCACGTCTTGCTGTCGAGCGTCATCGTGATGGCGTTGAAATCGAGTCCGTACTCGACGGTGTGCAGTGTTGCGAAGGAGAGTGCAAAGAGAATCACCGCCGGAGCGACGACAAAGGCCAGGCAGGAGAGCGCCAGCGACGCGGTGGTGGACACCATGCGGCTTCAGCCCGCCAGTTCGACAAAAAGAATTCGTGTGCGGACCTTTAAAATCCCTGTGTGCTGGCCAAGGCACGGGCAGAGGAACGAGAGAAGAATATAGGGTGGATAAAGCGCCTGTTCACGGCATGGAGGGTGAGCCACACCGAACGTACCGAGCGAAGAGCCGAACGGAAGGAGGACGGGGAAGATGACTCCGAGGAGGACGAACCAGTGGAAATTCAGTTGTCAGATGTCACGATGCATCCGAAGGGGACCCCAGCGCCGGCATCATCCGTAGAGGCACGAGTGTTCGAAGAGAGAGTGGACCTGAGCAACAACATGACTTGGAGGCAAATGATCGGAGTGGGAGTCAGAAATGTGGTCCTTGCGCGAGGGGAGCTCGATAGACTCGAGGGGCCAGGATATGCAGCAAGGAGGGCGGAGCTGCGCCGAAAGGCGAAAGAAGCCGAGAGAACAAGGGAACGGCAGGCGGCGGCGGCGCAGGACGAGGCAGAAGAGAACGACGCGACAGAGGAGGAAGTGACAAGGGAGAGAACGACGAGAGTGGGACGGCCGCGAGGTGGCATGAAGGTTGCAGCGAGAATCGGCGAGAGACTGCGAAAAGAGATAGGAAGAGGCAGACTCCCTAGGGTGGGCGACGGCTAGCGCATCACACTCCTCTCCTTAAAATCCCTGTGTGGTGGCGGCGTGCCGTCCTCCCATCCCTCCCTTGGGCTGTCTGTTTTCTTTCTTTTCTTTCTGTGTGCTGGCGGCGTGCCGTCCTCCCATCCCTCCCTTGGGTTGTCCGTTTTCTTTCTTTTTCGTGGGGACCCTGTCCTTCTCCCACCCCTGGTTTGGTGTGTCGTGAGTGAGTGAGTGACACACACACACACACACACACACACACACACTTTGGTGTGTCGGTTTTATTTATTTATTTATTTATTCGTGCGTCTCACATCTCTCCTGGAGATGCTTCTTTATCGGCACCAAGCACCAACCACAAAAACAACAACATTACGTGTGAGTGTTAGAGTTGTTTGGTATTGCTAAAAATCTCTCTCTCCCAACCACAGGTAACCAAAGACTTTCTTTTACGCTTGTCATGTGAGAGAGTGCGTTGCGTTCTTGTTTTGTATCCGCTTTCTCTTTTACCCGAAACGCCCTCAAGGGGTTCTGAATCCCCCCCCCCCCCCCCCCCGCCGCCGAGCATGTGGTGTGAGCAGAAAAGGCCAAGTGCGCCTCCCTCCCTGGAGCCGATGTGAGCCTTCCCCACCCCCTTCGGACCCTGCAATCCCCCGTTGGCCAGGGTTCCAACTTTTTCCGGGGTATGGTATGGTAGGCGCGGCCCAAAGGGTGGGGGGGTATGGTCCTGACCGCCCATCCCCGGTCTCCGGGAGGCTGGGTCTGTCAGCAGGCGGGGGGTATGGTCTCGAGGTGGGTTGCGCGAGGGTACCATACCATTCCCCGCAGAAAGTCCGAACCCAGCGGCCCGAGAAAATAAAAAGCTAGAGCCCAACGGTGTGGGGGCGCGGAGGGCTTGTTGGCGAGCCAAAATGGTGTTTTCCGAGGCCGCTGCGCTAGGCTCAGAGCGAGTTCGCGCTGCGCTAGGCTCAGAGCGAGTTCGCGCTGCGCTAGGCCCTAGTAGCCCCTAGGCTCAGACGGCGAGTTCGCGCTGCGCTAGCGGCTCACAGATGGCGAGTGCGCTGCGATCTATTTGCGCTGCGAGGATGAAAAGACCCCTTCTAGGAGCCGACAGTGGCCAGGGGCGGGGCTTGCATTTTTGCCGTCGCCAGTCGCCAGTCGCCCCCCCCCCCCCCCAAACGGTGGGTAGGGGGGTGGGGAGGCTGCCGTGTGCGCTGCGGTGCGCGTGCGCCGCACACCACACGGCGGGAAACAGACGGCGAGGGGGGCGCGGCGGCAGCGGCGCAGCGCGCGCGCGGCGCGCGCGACGGAGGGGCGGAGCAGCGACCGCTGGCGCGGTCGCTGCTCCGTCTGTGCCAGAGACGCGCGCTCTGCCGCTCCACAGAGCGCGCGTCAGGCAAGGTGGGGGCCCACACGCACACACACGCTGCACACGATTGGCTCGGGAGGTGTTGGGGGCCCGCGCGACAAAAGAATTCGGTTCTTGTCGCGCTGTGCCCCTGTGTTCGTGCGTCTCCCATCTCTCCTGGAGATGCTTCTTTATTTATTGGCACCAAGCACCAACACAGGTATTTTCAAAGACTTTCTTTTACCCGGGTACGAAACAGCTGCTCAAGGGGTTCTGAATCCCCCCCCCCCCCCCCTCCCCCGCCGCGGAGCATGTGGTGTGAGCAGAAAAGGCCAAGTGCGCCTCCCTCCCTGGAGCCGATGTGCGCCTTCCCCACCCCCTTCGGACCCTGCAATCCCCCATTGGCCACTATCGAGACGAGCATGAGCTCCGCACGTGCACCTGGCCAGTGTCGTCTGCCCCCCCTCCCCCGCCGGCGCCAATTTGCGGAGACGGCGACGAGCGCCGCAAATCGCCCGCCGCCGCTATCTCCGCAAGCTCCGCTTGACCCCCGCGCCACGCTCGGCCTCGGGCGGTGGCAGGGGGCGGGACGGCCGCGGGCGAGGGTGGGGGGAGGGGCCGAGGGATCGCCCTCGGCGAGGGACTGCCCTCACACGGATCGCCGTGTCCCAGTACTCACCGGCTTGCCGGGTCATTGTACCGTGTCGGGGCGCGAGGGCCAGTGTCGTGTCGGGTGCCACGGGGGCTGGCTCGAGGGCCACGTTCGCCGCTCGTGTCGGGTGCTCCGCGGGCGAGGGGGGGGGGGGGGGGGGTCGCCCTCGGCGCGGGATCGCCCTCAGACTGGTATCGGGCTGGGTGGAAAGGCTCGTCTCTCAGGCGCGTTGGGCGCACCGGCGCCGCGGCGGAGGGAAGGCGGGCTCGACGACAAGGTCACACCGCGCGGAATCTCCACCTCGCCTTCTCTGTCGCTCTCCTGGCCCGTGCTCATCAGTGTAAGGCCTGAGGTGTCCCAAACCGCACTTATCTGGGGTCTTTAAGCTCACACCGGCTCGTGATGCCACGGACCGACCCGACCGAGGGCTCGAGATTGGCCCCGGTGGACCCCATCCGAGGCGATTGCGAGGGCTTTCCGGTGGTCATTATCGACGCCACCGACCGTGAAATGTCCCGACTCACAGCCCTCATGCACCAGGTGCATGGATGCAGTCATAATATGTAGGCCTTCTCTCCCACAATTTTGAGCAATAGCCGCACAAATAGTGCTTTTCGGCAGTTCATCGCGACACGTCCAGGTGCCGACGAAGCGGCTTCCCAGCTCACCACCTCGCCTTCTCTGTCGCTCTCCTTGCCCAGGCCCATCAGTAGCAGGCCTGAGCTGTCCCAAACCGCACTTATCTTGGGTGATGAAGCTCACTCTGGCTCATACCACGGCTCTGCAGCCTCACACACGCCCGTTTCAGCCACAGACACCGCCGGCACGCACTCCCACTTCACACATGCTCAAGCACAACCCCACCAAAGCACAGCCCTGCTCAGAATGGGCAAGGTCCACGACTTGGTGACCCAAGTAGCCTCTGGCTCGCCACTGCACTCGGATCCTCTGCAGCTGTCTCGGGCTTTCCCCACGACAGCACCCCGACGGCAACGCCGAGCCTTTTGACGCCCGTCTGGTGGGCCTGCTGTGTCCACAGCCGCCCCTCACATGCAGCTCGCACCATGACTCGACACTGGGCCCTCTCATTCCGGTCGTGGCGGCGTGTGTGAAGGATGCGCGGCCGAGCCGCTGGCTGGCGCCGCTTGAACGTCCGAGAGCAGCCTCCAGGAGGCAGAATGAGTCGCGGTGCATGTCGCCATCGGCCTCCGGGGGTGGGCCCGGGGCCAGGCCACTCTCGGCGCCCGAAATACTCGGCGCAGAGCCCGGCATTGGGGCCGCGCGCGGACGAACGCAACCCTATAGGGTTTGAGGGCGCCCGCCCAAGAGCCAGGGGCCAATACCTGTAGGCGCCTCACGCTCTTGCGCTCCGCGTTCGCTGCGTACGCTGCGAAGGCGGTCTCGAAGTCGCCGGACCCGTCCACAGCCTCTTCAGCTCTTCGAGCAGAGCCCGCCCACGCGCCACGGAGCTCCATGTGATTATCTCGATCGCCAGCTCGGCGAGCGAAGCGATCTTCTTGGCAGATGCAGTCTCGGCTCGCCATAGTATTCGGCATACACACGGCAGACGACGTCGTAGATCTCTGTGGCGCCGTCGGCTCCAACGCTTCCGGGTGTCCGAGCGCGCTGACCGCAAACATTGCCGCGGTTGTAGCCTTCGAAGCGAGTGTTGCTCGGGGGGCGCAGCGCGAACCCCTCTGAAGAAAATAAATGTTCGGGCTGTGAAAATAAACGGTTGGACTGGGTGAGAGAGAGAGAGAGAGAGAGAGAGAGAGAGAGAGAGAGAGAGAGAGAGAGAGAGACTGGGTGTATGGATGGTCATCGAGAGCGGCTCCTACACACGTATGGGTATGGGTGTTTGACACAAGAAGAAGTTCCTGTCGGCCGCCGATGGACTCGCGAGGATTTTGCGTGGTTTCTCACGCCCAGATCTCACTGACCTGTGTCCATATCAGCGTGTACGGGGACACTGCCTCGGAATGCCTCGTGTAGTCAAACCAGTGACGAGCCATCCTCAGGTTGCGCTGGTACTGCTTCCAATCCGATGCTCGCAGCCGGGTGAGCAGCTCCTCGGCGTCCCACGCCTTGGGCATCCGGACCGCGAAGCGGGAGTAATTCAGGAAGTCGAAAAAGGGCTGGTGCCTCCAGCTGTAGTGCTCTATAACGGGGACGCACCCCTGCATCACGGCGAGTGCCAGCTTCTCTCCGCCCATCGTGTCGCCAGGCAAAGCGAAGCAGAACTTGCTGTCCGAGATCCCTCGCACGTACTCTCTCCTCTCACTGGTGGAGACGACGCACGCGTCGGGAAAGGTGGTCAGGCGGAGCATCGCACTCTTGACGCGTGAGCGGATGTTCTGGAATTCGGCGGACAAACTACGATCCGCGTTCCCGAAGTACGTGAGTGTGCACCGTCGGTTCTTTGTTCCGATCCCATAGTCAATCGCCCCCGCGGGGACGACAATGTCCCTGTCGTTCCCGCTGATCGTCTTGTCCTCTACCAGCGCGGTGCAGTACCTCGCCGCACCAGAGTGTATTGTCGGGTAGGAGTTAGGATGCAGAGCTAACAGGACGCACCCTTTTCCCTGAATTACCAGACGCGCCACATTTCTTCCGAGCCCTTCGATCGTCCTGCGCGCAGCGCCAAAAGGGTCACGCGTTTTCTTCGTAATATGCCTCGAGTAAGGGCAGTTGTCGAAGATAACGATGGAAGCATTCTCGTCGGAAGGGATCGCGGACAGCGTCTTGGAGAAAAAGAGCTCGGATGACATCTCTACGGCTTTCCCGGTCGTGAACTCGCTCCTCCATTTGGTAAGAGGTGCAGGAGCGGCGGTGCAGGACCGAACGATGCTCAGGGGTGGAGGGGAGGTAGCGATCGGACGAAGAAGGAGGTCCACTTCCGTCGGTGACGGAGGGTTGTCCGGCTGAGGGGTGGCGGCTGACTGCCGCACAGTCGGTGGCGGTGGTAGGGGGATGTGACCCAGCCTTGACGGCGGAGACGGAGGCAAGAGCATGGTGGCGGCGGTGGCGTTGGCGACCCCCACATGAGGAATGCAGGAGACCACGCCCGCATTGCTCTGTGATGGACGCCTGGTCGCATCCAAAGGCTTGAACCAGCACTGCTGGGAGGCAGCCAAGTACGTCGCGACACCGCAGCTCGGCCTCTCCTTGCAGAGGGCGCAGCAAGCCTCCTTTGACGCCACCCCTGTGGCATGCGCCCGGCCTCGTCCGCCCCTGTCGTAGTCGACGCCGGCCTCGAAGCGGCAGCTGCCATTCCGTTGAGCTAGGGCATCGTCTGGAGAGAAGCGAGGACTGGCGGTGGCGGCTTGATCCTGGCTGGCAGTCTCGAGTGCCACTGCTGCGTGCGCCACCGGCCTGATTGTGACGTTGATGTGGCGGTGGATGCGCAGGCGGTGTGGCGAAAGTGCGGCGCCGGCTGAAGACGCAAAGGGCAGGCTCTCCTTCTCTTTGTTCATCTCTGCGTCCTTGCGGTCATCGGGGATTACACGAGTGGAGTCATCACCGTTTGCCTCTAATGCCCAGAGGACACACGAGACGACGCCAGAACCGCTTTTTGATGGACGCCTGGTCGCACCCACCGGCTTGAACCAGCACTGCTGGGAGGCAGCCAAGTACGTCGCGACTCCGCAGCTCGGCCTTTCGGAGCAGAGGGCGCAGCAAGCCTCCTTTGACGCCACCCCGATGGCTCGTGCCCGGCCTCCTCCGCCCCTGTCGTAGTCGACGCCGGCCTCGAAGCGGCAGCTGCCATTGCGTTGAGCTAGGGCATCGTCTGGAGAGAAGCGAGGACTGGCGGTGGCGGCTTGATCCTGGCTGGCAGTCTCGAGTGCCGCTGCTGTGTGCGCCACCGGCCTGATTGTGACGTTGATGTGGCGGTGGATGATCAAGCGGTGTGGCGAGAGGGGGGCTGATTCTCCGGTCGGTCGGCCCAGTGCGCTTGAAGTCGCCTGCTCACGCCAGCCGCCACCGCCAGCAGCACTCAAAGCAACAAGCAAATTCGCCGCCATTCAAAGACCTGAGCCGGTCGCCGGGACGGCGGCCGGGCAAACACAAAGCTGCCTCAACGAGGAGCAAACTCGCCGGCATTTTAGCCCCTGCTAGGAAGGGGCAACCACTATGTGGTGTTTTAGGTGTTCTCTCTCTAGGTGTATTGTTGGCAAACTATGTGGTGTGATTTCGAGCAAAACTCGGCCTCGCGAGCTCGCGTCGCCCCGTTTTCGGGCTCCGGGGGCGCGGGGTGGGTGGGCACGTCTTCTGATAAACGCACGCAGTATGGAAGATACAAAGAGACGGAGGAGCAACGAGCGCCCTGCCTGGCGTGAGCCAAAGACACTCCCTCCGTAGACACTGATCACACACGGGTGGGACAGGGTGGGTCACAACGAAGCACGAGAGCGTGCTCGACAGAGCGACAGCGCAGCGCACTGCCGTCCAGTCGGCGAAGGGACGGCTGCTGCGCAAAGTGATCAGTTCTAATGAATGTACCGGGGCCCGACGGATAGATGAATCCGGGGCACCCTCCGCTCGCCCTGGCTAGGGGTTCGAGGTGGCCCCCACCCTGAAGAAACGCAAACAGGACAGACGCTACTTCCCTACTTATGGTCACCACAGTAAACGAAAATTCGACTTTGAGGGATCATATCTCAAAAGGCTGGGTGAGAGCATAGCATTATTATTGCATATTAGGCCGCATAAGATCAGACTTGACCCCATAAGCATCAAGAACCCGATGCTCCGGCTCGACTGTGCCGGCACACTGCCTCTTCGTGCCTGCTGCCAGCAGCCGTCGCGGCCCGTGGTGCACCAGAGAGAGAGGTCGACGCGTTGCCCCCGCCGGCGACCCCGCGCGGCTCAGGCCGGCCAGAAGGTGTGTGGTGACGGCACCGTGGCAGGAGTGCGGAGATGAGCTCGCCGAACGCGAGCAGCAGATGGCCAAAGTGTGCCAGCGCGAGAGCCTCGCGAGCGGGCGCAGAAGGAGCTCGCCGTGACACGATGCCGGGCGGTGGTGGTGCTCTGGCGACTGTGCACAGTGGGCAAAGTCAGGCTGCAACAGGGCAGCACGTTGGTAGTGCCCTGCTGCAGCCTGGCCTGACATGCACAGGGCGAACAGAGGCGGTACTATCGTCCGGCGCTCGTCGTCGAATCTGGGCCAACTTCGACCGCCGCCACAGCTCGCCACGAGCACGCAGCGACAAAATGTTGACTGTATGGAAGTTGAGGCTGGTCGAGAGGAAGAGGCTGCCGTGCGAGCCGGCAGCTGGCTGGCTCGCCCGCAGCGTCTTTTTCGGCTTCTTCATTCATACCCGGTAGTTGCGACACGCTGCGAGTATACCTTCTCTTGAACAAGTTATTTAGGGACACCCCGGTTTCGGACATCGGCGAACGATTCGACGGTGCCTCCAACTGAGCCAAATGGAGCCCTGTGATGTGGGACCTCACTCCCAGAAGCTTGGAGCTTCAGGCCGCGACCACGTGGCTAGGTGGACACTAAAGTGCCATTTTGGCGCCAAATCTTGGCGGGAAATGACACGTGGCTTGGCGGGAGTGTGGTGTGGCTGCGCCGCTCGCCAGCGCTGCTGTTGAGCGCCAGCTGCTGCTCCCTTCAGCCAGACGGCCGGGCCTGCGCAGCACGACCGCTGGCCTTCCTCCTGCACCACAGGAGCGCGCCAAGGCGCGCGTCTGGGCAAGCAGTGCGTCTCATCGCGATGCGAGAGTCGACGCTGTGACGCCGCCGCTCGCCGGCTAGAATGACAGTGGCAGCATTCGAGTACGCGTCGAGCTGTGCGTACCAGCACTCGTATGCGAGCTAATTGTGTCCCTGAGCTGCTGTGGGGTGCGTGGGCTCAGCTGCGGAGCACGTACTGGGCGGCGGTAGGGGGGTGTCGCTAAATAACTTGTTCAAGAGAAGGTAATACCCCACGTTCACCCATCCAGTGATTTCTTTTTTAGTTTCCCATAAGTAGGGTAGGTAGGTAGGTAGGTAGGTAGGTAGGGGCACCGCAGGGGCCAGGGTTTTTGCAGAATTTCATCAGTGCCGCCCAACGCTCGCCGCTCGCCGCCGCCCTGCCCTGCCCCGCCCAGCCCTCATACCGCCGACCCTTACCGTGCCGCGCCGCCTCTACACACACACACCTGACTTCTTGCTCGACCGAGTTTGCGTTGAGGAGCGAACCGAGCCGCCGGTGTGTCCCGCAGCGGCCTCGCTGGGCCAGAAAGTCGGCCCGCGAGTGCTCCGCAGCAGCCTCGCTGGGCCAGAACGTCGGCCCGCGAGGTGGATGCTAGCATGAGCCCGATCCGTCGCAGTGCTCTTGCGTTACGGCGGTAGTGATCTAATCACGCGGGCGGACCCTTACAGATCACAGATCACACTGAAAATGCGCCTGCGGGCGGACCCTCACAGATCACAGATCACACCTGCCCCGCGCTGTGGGATTTCGCGCAATCACTCTGAAAGCTCGCCGATCCCTGCGGTGAGCGCTGTGGTCGCCGCAGACTGCCTCCGACTTGACGGGCGCATGGAGACGTGATGCCTCCATGCGCCCGTCGAGTCAAAATCGACATGCGAGGCGATCTTTGGCCCGCCAGAGGGATAGGCGGCGTTTTGGGCGACAAACAGCGCTACGACCGCGAAGTGGCGGTGGACATGCTCCCATGTTGCCGACGCGGCGCCGGAGTGGCCGGCGCTGCTCGCCGCGACCACGATGGCTACTCCGATGCGCCGGGCCGACCCGTCCTACCCGACGGTGGCACTCTTCCACGTCTCGCTCACGCTGAGAAAAATTCTGAAACGGCGTGCAGCAGAGTCGCCGACGAGTCGGTGCGCGTGCCTCCTCGTGTCGCGTACCGTTCTCACACATCCATAAACTCACTTTGGCCTCACTAATAAAGCGAAGGCTCAATCCTCAATCCTGAGATTTTAGATTAGGACGCTGTGGGCCCGGCTCTAGAGGGCGCGGACCGTGAGTTGAGGAAATCGGGGGACGCGACCCACTTCGCCACAGACGGTCCCGCGCCTCGCCGCTATGACGGGGACACACCCCGCACCGTCCGCTGTGTCCCCGTCTTTGTCCGGAGTGAATACTCCGACGCGCTCGTCGGTGACGGTGTCCCCCGATTTCGCCGCGCTCGGCGAACCTCGACAGCGCTTTCGGTGGCATGCAGCTCTTTGCGACAGAAGCCTGGAGAGCAGCTCCTCTGCTGCTCACACACTCTGCACAGTTGGCACAGCCTACTGTGCGGCTGCCACAGCTGTCACAGCGATGGGCTCGCCCTCACTGGCCCTCAGTCACTTGTGCTGCGGCTTGTGTGAGCGACACTGCTCGGCGACTGCCGGCACACTGTGAGACCATGGGTGTGAGGCTAAACCACGCTACCAGCGCTTGGTCACATCGGCCCCGAGGTCAGATCCTTCTACTCTGTTGATTACAAGACTTGTCTACTGGCTTAAAGCCGAGCAGGAGGGCCCAGCGCACAACCCCTGTGGTCAACTCAGGGTCCACACCCCGTATCGCAGGAGGCGCGCTTTGTACTCGGGTTTGGATGGTAGCGGGAGGCCCCGCCGGAGCGCGGAGCCTCGCTGGTTACTGATTTATTTAGCACCAAAGAATATAATTTCTTTACCCGGGTACCAAACAGCTGGGCCTCGAGGGGTTCTGAATTCCCCCCCCCCCCCCCCCGGAGATTGTGGCGTGAGCAGAATTGGCCAAGTGCGCCTCCCTCCTTGGAGCCGATGTAGAACTGATATGCGCTTGTAAAAGCGCTTGCTCCCACCCCCTTCGGACCCTGCAATCCCCCGTTGGCCACCATCGAGACGAGCATGAGCTCCGCACGTGCACTGGCCAGTGTCGTCTGCCCCCCTTCCCCCGCCGGCGCCAATTTGCGCGGAGCGACGGCGACGAGCGCCGCAAATCGCCCGCCGCCGATATCTCCGCAAGCTCCGCTTGACCCCCGCGCCACGCTCGGCCTCACTGGCGGCACGGCCAAAACCGTCACTCGGCTGGAATCTCTTTGGCGCACAGCGGACACGCCTTCGAGCGCTTGAGCCACTCGCCCAAGCACTCCACGTGCTCGGCGTGCCTAACCGGGCGGCGTGGGACCGAGCTCGGTGGACCTACTTCTCTCTCTCCGCCTCGGCGCGGGACGGGAAGAGTCAGAGCGAGAGAGCGAGAGAGGCGGGCGGGCGGGAGAGCGAGGGAGGGAGCAAAGAGGAACAGGTTCACCCGCACGGCAGCACGCGCAGCGAGTCGCCCTCCTCCCACTCCATGCAGCAAATCGAGCACTTCTCGCCGAGCCGCACCCCGCTGTCGGCCCGCGCCTCGCACAAGCTCAACGTCCGCAGCGACCCCACCGCATTCGCGCTCGCCCCTCGAGACACCTCACCAAGCGCCTCGCCTGTACACGCGCAGGTGCGCTATTCGCGGGCCTCAAGGCACACGGACGGCTCGAAGCTCCACGGCTCTGCTCATGCGCGCGCATGCGTAGCGTGTGGGTGGGGTGGGCGCGGGGGGTGTGTGCGCTCACAGTGTGGCTTGCACTGGGCGAGTGGGGCGTGTGGTATGGGGGGAGTGTGTGCGGGGGAGACGCGCCCAAGCGCACGAGCGTCTCGTAAGAGTACTGCGACGGGGAGACGGCGCCCTCGCGCTCGTCGTCGCCCTCGCCCTCGTTGGCGAGCAGCGCCGCGCCCGCCGGCCCGAGCGCCGCGCGCAGCGCCTCATCATCCTCCTGCAGAATCGAGGCGCAGCAAGATGTACACCATGTGTGCGCGCTCCGGTGCATATAAGCCCCGTGTCCGCCCTCGGCCGATGTCACAGAGCCGGTTGGCGGGCGGGCGCGGGCGGGTGTGCGTTGCGGCGCTGTTGGGCTCACCTCCAAGTGTCGGAGGGAGGGAGAGAGGCATCGCAACTGCGTGGGCGGGCGGGCGCGCTGCACGTGGCTACTAGCTGGTGCGTCGCTCCTGCTGTTGCAGCCGAATCGCGAGGGCGATGGACTCGGCGTCGTCATCCGCGGCGGGGATTGAGGCGAGGCGCGCCTCCCCCTCTTCCCGCTCTCGCTGCCGCGCCTCCTCCTCCTGCTGAAGCTGCCACACCAGCTCCAACGTCGCCGCGTCATCGCCCGCTGCCACCTGATCAGACGCGGAGTGCCGCTCTGGAGTGCATGGCCGTGGGACAGCCGGCCATGAGACGGCCGGCGTGGCGACGCTGGGGCGCGCGGGGCGTGGAGTGCTAGTCAAGGAGGCCACTCGGGCGCCTCGTCACTCGGCGGCGGCGGCGGCGGCGGCGGCGGCGGCGTTGGTGGCTTGCTGGATGCGCCCGCCAAAGTGTCGTCGGGCTGGCGGTTCGAGCAGCCTGGGGAGTTCTCTCGCGGCTCGGTTCGACGCGCCCCATCAGGCTCGGGCGGAGTGGCAGGCTTCGGGGTCGGGGAGGGAGTCATGTCAAACCACGGCCAAAAAGAATTGTTGTATCTGGCTGTAATCGGCTACTACGGCCGGTCCACGGTCATCACATAGGAAGACTGCCAGAGCATCGAACAAGTGAGGGCGAGCGCCCTAAACGCAAAAGGGTACTCGGTAGGAATCCCACGACTACAAATATACGATGTGAAGGAGAGAGGAGGGATGGGAATGGAACACGCGTACACGTACGCAGCGGCGGCGCTGATCGATCAAGTGGACCGGGCCCTCAGCGCGGTGGAAGGGGAACCAGCGAGGGTGGCCGTGGAGAGCAGCCTAGCGCACTCTTCGAGGTGAGGGAGGGTGTAGATAGAGGATGTAGAGTGAGAGCGCTGTAGAGCTGTAGAGATGTAGAGCGCTCTGGAGCGCTGTAGAGCAATGTAGAGCTGTAGAGCTCTACATCCACCGCGTGACGAACTGCGTGCGTTGTAGAGCGATGTAGAGGCGCTCTACAACGTGAAATCTCTACAACAAACTCTACACCATATACCATATTACCCGGCGAAGGAGGCACGGTCGCTCTCCGACATGAGGCGCGTTGCACTTGCCAGTGCTGCCCTGGCCTTCTGTCTGCCCGCCCAATGGGTGGCAGATGCCTCTGCTGCTGTGGCATGCCTCGCGGCTGCGACTGGCCGGCGCCTCGGCGCGTCAGCTCGGCTTGGCGCAGCGATCGTGGCCAGCGCAACTCGCCTGGACTCAACGCTCAGCCAGGAGCTCCCGCACGCGCTTGCGCGAGTCATGGCGCATGCAACGCGCAGTAATGCTCGCCTCGCCTCGCGCAAATGCGACCGTCCTCGCAGCCGACAGTCCACCGCCTGCTAAAGAAGCACAGCGACGAATGCGGCACCGGCGAGTGCTCGTTCTCTGGACGAGGATCGAGGTGCACGCTCGCGTCCGGGTAAGCTGAAACGAGAAATTTGCGCGCCCGGGTAATCTCAAAGAGAAAAGTTAGCCGCCGGGTAATCTGGACGAGAAATTTGGCCGACCGGGTAATCTGAGATGAGAAAAGTTAGCGGCCGGGTAAGCTGAAACGTGAATTGTGGGAGACTGGGTAAACTGGTTTCTCAGTTTTTTGATGAAATTGCTGCTGAGCAGGAAAATATCTGAAAATATCGTTGCCGGGTAATCTGGACGAGAAATTTGGCCGACCGGGTAATCTGACATGACAAATTTTAGCGACCGGGTAAGCTGAAACACGAATTGTGGGAGACTGGGTAAACTGGTTTGACGGAAATCGCGCTAAGCAGGAAAATATCGTTGGCCGGGTAATCTGCGAGGCGAATCTCAAAAACCGGATAATCTGAAATGTATCCAAGAACGAGTGCGAGTTAGAAATGTTCGGATTTTTGTTCATTTCTATGGAAAAGAATTTCCCCAAGGTGCCGTTGTGTTCCCCTTGTGTTCGTGCGTCGCCATCTCCCCTGGAGATCTCCGGGCCGGCACGGACCCCCGGGGCCGACACCCCGTGCGTCCGGACGGCCCGTTTTGGGACGCTCTCAGAAACTGCTGCTAACGAAACCGGAAAACCAATCAAACCTTCATCAAACGCTCTCGTCCACAAAAGGTTACGTAAGATGCCCAAGTTTCTCACCGAGATATGCCCCGGTGTGAAGATCCGCGATGTTGTGCCGAGTCGGAGCCCGGCGGGCCGAGGTAGTTGGACCCTGACGGCCGATGTCGCCAAACTCGGCCCACTTCGGTTCCCAGTGCTCCCTACCTGCTCCCTGATGCTCAGGGAGAAGGGAGGCACCCATAGCCTTCATAGGCTGAAGGGTGGCTCCAGGGAGTGTCGACTCGTTATACTGACGCTGTGTATGTACCCCCCCCCCCCCACGGACGCATGGGGTGTCGGCCCCGGCCGGGGGTCCGTGCCGGCCCGGAGCTGGAGATGCCTCATGCCTGCTGTTTCCAAGAAAGATGGCCGCATCGATCGGGCGTGAGTCGGGGGGGTGTCGGGGCACGACGAGGGTTGCTTCGGCTGGCGCTCGGAGGCCACCAGGCGGCCCCATTTGATGTCCGGGAGGTGCCTTTCGGACGCCTCCCGGACAGCTAACGTGCAGAGCATCGAATAGACGCCTTGCCCGAAAAACGCTAAGTGTTCATGAAAAATCAAGTGTGACATGTATGCCGTCCGCCCCCCTCCCGCGAACATCGCTCGCCGTCGTCGTGGCCATCGGGCTCGCCCTGAGCTGCACCGCCTCCATCGGCCCGCGCGCTGCGCCCGAGGAGGCCACCAAAGGCCGGAGGCGCCCTAGGCGCAGCTTCCAGCTACGCAGCGCTGGGGGGCAGCAGCATCCGTCGAGGCTCGAGCCGGTGGCGCACGCCTTTGCCCCGTGCCTGCGAGCCCCCGTGCCCTTCTCGCCAAAGGCGCGCGACATTGACCTCGAGCAGCTGCTCCGCGCTTGCGATGGCGCGCTCTCATCTTTCCCATGCCCGTCCGTGCCAGCCGCCCACCCGCCCCGGTATCGCGCAGATTTCCTCGCCCTGCAGCTCGCGATGGGCGGTGCAATGGCGGCACCGGCGCGTTATTTCGAGGCGAACTTGCGCGCGGTGCGCACGGCGCGCGACGCTCACCGGCGCGGCCGGTGGGCTGGCCCCGTGACCATGCGGGCGCTGCTCGAGGCGGAAGCCGCGTCTGGGGCGCACGGGAGGGGGGGGCTGCTCAAGGACCCGAGCGCCGCCATGGGGCTGCTCTGGATCCGCCGCTCGATTGCTTTCAACGCGGCGCTCTTCCCCAGCCACCTCGTCTCTGGCCAACTCCACCACCTTCCGATTGACACCGCGCAACCTCCTCCCCCGCGAAGCCGGTCCGCACAGCTCGCCTCCGCTGTGTAGGCGCTCTTCGCCTCCGTCGCCGCGAGCGCGAAGCGGGACGCGGCAGCGCCTCGCCGCGCCTGCCTCGCGGCATACGCCAAGGAGCTCGAGCCGTACCATGGATGGACGCTGCGGCGCGTCTATCGCCTCGGCGCGGCACTCGGCGCGCCGCCACAGGCCCCCGGCACACCGTGAGACGGGGGTGTCGACCCGCAGGCCTCCCGCGCGGCATGCTGCCGCGGCAGGCTTTTCTCGCGCGGCTCGCCGCCAGCGAGAGCGACGCGGACGTCCAGGCGGCGGTAGAGGACATGCGCGCGCTAGTCGCGGTGCCAAATGGACGCCCGTTCGCACTGCTCAATGGCGGCACCCCGGCCACGCGTCCTGTCTGTGCGCGTAGGTGTGGACGCCGCTGCTGCGCGAGTGGCGCAGAACGTTTGTGGAGCTGGACCTCGAGGATTCTCGTCGCGTTTAGGGGGGCGGGGGGGGGGGGGGCGGTGACTGGACCGTGACCCGCTGTATGGCCGTAAAGCCGGGGTGTGGACCCTGAGTTGACCAGGGGTTGTGCGCCGCGCTGGGCCCTCCTGCTCGGCTCCAGCCAGTAGACAAGTCTTGTCATCAACAGAGGAGAAGGATCTGACCTCCGGGGCCGATGTGACCAAGCGCTGGTAGCGTGGTTTAAGGGGGGTTTTCCCCCCCCCTCGGGGGGGGTTTTTTGGCCCCCCCCCCCCCGGGGGGGGCCCCCCAGGGGCCCCCCCCCCCCCCCCCCGGCCCCCCGACTTCGGCCGGCGGCTGCGCGCTGCGCCTCTCGGCGCCCCCCGCCGACTCTCCCGCTCCGATGGTTTGCCCGCTGAATCTCGCCCTTACCGGGACCGCGCGTGGGCTCGCTTTCGTCTGAGAACGAGCTGCTCACGTGCGGGCTCCTCGACGCGGCCCCCTTCTCCTCCACGGCTGGACTACAGCTGGCTATCGACAGCCTTAATCTGTCGCCAGCGGCATTGGAGGTGAAGGAGCCCGATCTCCTCCCGGTGGGGGGCCTCGCCGCCGCGGCCGCGCTGGCGGGGGATGCTGCTCATGCGCAGCGCGGGGCGACTCGCCGAGCCAGCGCCGCGGCGCCTGCGGCGAGGCCGGCGGCGGCTGCTCGCGCGGCCCTCGCGCCATGCCTCGCCCCGCTGGCTTGCACCCCGCTTTCCGCCCTGGAGGTTGAGGGGGACGCGCCGTGGACCGTGGTCGCCTACATCTCCGGCATGCTCGGCCCCTGCCTTCGTGCCTTGGGGTCGCAGGTGCAGCTCGGCGCCCACCTTCTCGCCAGCGGCTGCATCTCCCCCGAGTGCTGACCCGCAACTGCTGGCGAGCTACTTTAAGGACTACGTGCTCGCGCTGGAGGGCGCGCTGCCCCCTTCGCTCTGCGCCCCCTACGCTTGTGGGCCGCAGTGGTTGGAGGAGGCGCGCGATGCGGCGACCTACTTGCGCGACGACGCTGGCCGCCGCAGATGGGAGTCTCATGATGTAGCAT